CAGCCAATTTTACTCTTCCTTGAATTTACATCCTGCCATCTTATCTCTGTGCCTTTCTTCATTCTGCCCAAAATGTTCACCAGCGGGCCCCTATTGGAATGCCCCGCATTGTCAGTCCTGTGTTAAAGACCCACCTTACTTACTGGTGCTCTCTCTCTTTCACCATACCAGCAAGAAGTAATTCTCCTCTCCTTCCCTCCCTGTGTATTCTAGTAATACTTAATCATTTAATTCATTCTGCTTCCTTTTAGTCATTTAGAGGAGAGAAAGTGAAAGAGACCATTCCTTATATATGCATAAGATACACTTGGGCGGTTATGTGTTGTAATCTGGTTGACAGGGCTGTTTTAAATATCTTTGCAAACATTTCTGTCTTCCTCCTCCCCTCACTCCTTCCTTCTGTTTCTCCATCTCTATCTCTTTATCTCTCTCTCTACATTCATATTCACATACAGAGCTAACACTGCACCTTGTATACAAATGGGTTTTAATGTTCATTGAAATGGAATGAAATCTCATGAAAATCGACTAGTATGTGATGAAGTTCCCATTATTGTAGCAAGCACCATAAGTTGTTTTATACTGGGGTAAGGGGATTTATTTTTATTGTGGAGAAAACAACAACCCTACGTATTTGTTGAAATTGAATCATTTTTAAATTCTAACTAGCTGATAATCTAGTAATTTAATCATTTTTATTATATAAAATTACAGTAATATAATATCTTCGTTGAGATTAGAAACATTTCCTTAGAGCTGTAGTCAGCAAACTGCAGCTTGAGAGAAACATGCAGCTCGTCAGCCCTTTGAGTGTGGCTCTTCCACAGAATACCAGGGCCTGAGCGTTAGAAGAAACTTATGTTTTAAAAAATGTGGCTCTCCAAAGAAATTTCAATGGCTGTACTGTTGGTATTTGGCTCTGTTGACTAATGAGTTTGCTGACCACTGCCTTATAGGATATATGAGAATATCATGATGCATATTTGGAATATTACAGATGACTAATCCTCCATAACTGTATGTCAAATATTTGCCTCACTTTTACTCTTCTTTCCTGATTTTACATTGTTCCTCTAACTTCTTTTTTGCCTTCACTTTCCGTAACACATTCCTATGGATGTTAATCTCTTCTCATACTCTTGTCCTCTGAAAGATTCTATTCAAACATTTATTGGGTACATTCAGACTTACACATTTTAACTTTTCAGCTGGCAGAGCATGGTATATTATACCTAATAAAACCCTTCTGACTTTACCTGAAATCTAGAGGGCTGGTGCATGGAATTCATGCATTGGGTGTGTTGGGAGTGTTCCTCAGCCCAGCTTGTGCCCTCTCGCAGACCAGGAGCCCTCGGGGAATGTCCAACTGACAACTAGCGGGCCTAAGCCATCAGTCCGACATCCTCAGTGTTGCCATGGAGGCGGGAGAGGCTCCTGCCACTGCAGATGCGCTTGCCAGCCGTGAGCCTGGCTTCTGGCTGAGCGGCCCTCCCACTATGGGAGTGCACTGACCACCAAGTGGCAGCTCCTATATTGAGCCTCTGTCCCCTGGTGGTCAGTGCACATTATAGCAACCAGTCATTCTGCCATTGGGTAAATTTGCATATTAGTATTTTATTATATAGGATGAACATTTTTAGAAATCCCACGCTTCCCTTAAAACCTTAATGACATTTCTTCTTTCCTGACTCCTACATACCAATAACTAGTTCCAACCTGTTATTTCAGCCTTAGTTCTCACCACTCCCATATATCACACCCTACAAACTAGACTCCTCGACATTTCCCAAATTGTGTTTCCTGCCTCCCAGCTCTATTGAATCTATTCTTCATTTCTACAATGCCCTATCCCCCACTTCTGAAAGTTCTCCATCTTTTAAAGCATTGAGTTCTGAATTTGGGGAGTCTATAAATTCTAACAAAATTAATCTAAAATTCTGTAGACTGTTTTTATATATTTTTATAAGTAGAGAGGTCAGTTTCTATCACATCCTCAGAAGCAGACTTAAGACTCCCTCAAAAATTAATGAATAAAGAAGTTTTCCATTTTCTTCTACATATCTGAACTATTCTTTTATTTTTGACACATATGGCTTTATTTGCTTAATTATACATTTGTACATACATATGCCATACCCTGTATCTCTTACTAGATTATAATATCCTTGGATTGTGAATATTTTATCCCGTTCCCTGCACACTGTATAATATATGATGAGTACACAGTCACTGTGTAATAAATCTTTTTTAAAAATGTATGAGTTATTATCCCTTCATGAGATAAGAATTCTCTTCAATGTTTTCATTTACTAAATATGATAAATACATGTTAAGTATTTTTGTAGGCTTTTCAGAAATTCTTAACTAAGTGGTCACTAAATGTTGTAGCTTCTTTTGGGACCAATTAATGCCTCAGAGAACTCATGGGATTTGGATCTTGTGAGTTTCCACATGGGGTGGGTCCTCTGCTTCAGTCTACCTTTATTCCTTGCTTGTCCTATCTTTCCATGTTTCCTTCTTCTGTACCTTGCCTCTCCAAACTCAGCATAGGCCTAAGTCATTTAGGGCAGAATATTTCTACGTCCAAAAGAAATAGTCCATTTTTTAAAAAAATACTTTTTTATTGATTTCAGAGAAAGAGAAAATGGAGAGGTAGAAACATCAATGATCAGAAAGAATCATTGATCAGCTGCCTCCTGCACACCCCACACTGGGGATGGAGCCCACAACCCAGGCATGTGCCCAGCCCTGATCTCCTAGTTCATAAGTCTTTGGTCAACCACTGAGCCACAGCAGAAAGATTCCATTTTTAAAATCTCTATTACAAAGGGATACAAGGAACCAAAATTCTAAAGATTCAAATAATTCTAGAAAGTCGGCATATCCTTTGGGAGTCCAGTTTGAATCACAGTATTTTCTGGACTTTATAACTCCTCCAAAGCTCTCCAAAAGCTGACCTGAAATGAGAGGGACTCCTCCTAATAACCTGGCCCTCTAGGAGTGTCTGAAAATCTGAGACTGTTGCAGAGTAGCAACTTAGCAATAGAAGCAGATTATCTAACTTCTTTTCTTCAGAAAAATAAGTGCTCTTTGTGATTAATAAACCCAGACATGGATTTCTCTATCATTGTTGCTCAGCTATTATATTTCTGATAGTTTTGCATAAAATTATATGATACAGATAATATTATTTTTATTTAGTACACTAAAATCTAACCTCAAAATTTTCTCCCTCAAACTCCTATGAAACTGTAAGTATTTTGGCAAATTAATGTTTTGGGCAAATGCTTCTTAGAAGTGATTGAAAGTTATTTCAGCTTTTAAAAAATGTTTCCTCTTTTAAAAGAAGAGCATTTACTGATGCCCCTTTAAGAGATCCTTTATAATTTTACAGTATGACATATCAATAAAATGCTTGTTTACTCATTAAATTTCTGTTACTCCTTCTGTATTGTATCATTTCACTTGTGCAGTATCACTTTATTCAGGTTATTCTTAAGTATTAATGATAAACTACATTAACATCCCATTTGGCAGAGATAAATGTTTTAGAAGCCAGTTTATTTAATCTTGTGATCTAAAAAATGTTAACAGTAGAATAAGATACAGTATTAAATCTTATGAATTAATAAAAGTATTTTAAGATTACTTTTTCTATAATTTCTAACCTAACATTCTCCCTCAATATTACATTTCATTAACTTTAGATAAGAAGATGAAGAACCAATCACTTTGAAAATAATATAAAATAAAATTAAAATGATTAAGTCTCATGTTTAGGAGAAATTTATGAATATTTGAGGCTGAATGTCTGTGTATAAAGTATTCCACCACAAAGAAATTTGAAATTTGAAAAAAAATTACTTTGATATAGATATTGCCATTCTTTCCCCTTTTTTTGTGGTGAGAGTTGGAAGTTTATTAACATTTCAAGTCATCATTAATTTCCTTAATCAATGGAAATATAAATAAGTTATCTTTACTTTAAAGCATTAAATATTTTTATAACTACTTATATTGAATTGTTTATTTGATCAGATGGTACAAATAATGATACGAATTTTCTCTCTTAAATAATATAATGTGATATTTATTTAACTTAGTTAATATCATTAATATAACCTCATAACCAAATACAGAGTGTTCAAAACCAAATTATAGTACACACTTTATAGAAGAAGCTGATAGATATTTTTAAATATGAGGTTATTGGGAGCACATCTTATATCATCGACACCTACTACTTAATTAAGGGGTTAGATTGCTCGTGTGCTAAGATTACATGGAATAAAATCTGTGATTGTCCCTTTTCTTTCTTGGCTCTAAATTATTTTTCTTTTCTATGTTTCTTTTCTTCTGTAATTTCTAATAGCTCTTCCTCACCACCACATCCTAAAGCATAATGTAGGCACCCTGATTACATCTTAATTTTGTTCATGCTAATGACCCTCCACTTCTAAATTTTAATACAGAGTTAAGAAAGGGGAGGATAGATTTAGTAGTTTTTGAACATTAATGAAGATGTATTCACACATTTGCATTAAAATACTAATGCATGTTAAAATCTGCACCATAATTTTTCTTTTATGAGCGATAGAACAGAAATTAAATTCTCTTCAGGTGGGAGACAATTTAGAAAGGGTGCTTCCAGTCCCTCATCTTGATTTATGAAAGTCAAGAATGTTTTGTCATTGCTGGAAAAATCCATTGGGGTTTCTGCTCCTTTGGTCTCCATTCTGATTATACTTTGAGAATGGTAAAAAAAAAAAAAAAAAAAAAAAGTTTAGTTATGTAAGTGGGCTTATTATTAGTGTGCATATATTTATTTTATTTTCTGGGGGTATGGGAAGATGGTTGACACACAGTTCTGATGAGGTATTCATTTGCCACCATTCATGGAGAAATTGAACTTTAAAAGTCTATCAAAGTTCTCTGGTGAGCCTTTTGTTACTATCTTGTCTTGAGCCCTTTTTTTTTTTTTTAATGACATCTATTATCAGATTGAAATGGCGATTGAGACGCTGCAAAAGTCTGACGGTCTATCCACTCACAGAAGCTCTCTTCTCAACAGCCATGTAAGTTGCCTCTTCTTGTAAACTAATCTCTTGCTTGTTCTGCATGTGTTGTTTGCTTGTTTTATTTATTTACTTATTTATTTTGCTTCCTAACCTTCCTTTCTCAGCCTTATGACTTCTGTATCACTTAATGACTGTTTTGTACAGTGGAATATCTAAAAAGTAGAGTCCCGAGTATATCGCTTAACTAGGTTTTTGTACTGTTTTGATACCAATATAACATTTCCAAGTTAATAACAAGCTGCTATTTTATTTGTAAAATGTAATTTAATGGGAATATTAAGCATTTAAACTTTTCTATTTTAATATTTATTTACTATGAAGCAAATGTTTATCTGCATCTATCTCGTCTGAGACAGAGATACGATTATGTCTATTTGTATGTCTAGTAATATTCTTTAAGTGGAAAAAAAGATTATTAATGCCAAACCCAATGGTAAACTGTTTGGAAATGACTTGCTTATCATAGAGACTGTGTAAGATGGGCAGGAAGCAGCTGCTTAGAGAAGCTCAGGGACTAAAACCTAAAGAAAAATGAAATTGGGCCAGAAGAAGAATTGAGGATATAGATAAGCCATACATTTCTAATACTTGAGACAAAACAGGAATAGTGTTACTATTTCTTGAAGCTTTTAACTGTTATCTGATTCAGCAGCATTACAACACTGTTAAGTGCAAGAGGAATGATGATAGTTTTCTGCAACTATAAACATTGTCATCTAATGTTCGAATTTGGGGGAACCAATGAAAATGTTCATTAAAAATTATTTTGTTACTGTGATTTCTGACTAGTAAGTATAAAGACCTATGAATTAAATGTTTTAGATAGATCTTCTGCTAAATTAATATCAACATCAATATAGTAAGAATTAATTTTCCCTCCCAACTTAAATTTAGAGATAAGTTGTTATGATTTTTAAAAAAATTTTCTTTAATATTTAATGACTAGAAAGTCCAAAATTAGATTACCCAAATGAAATTTTAGAAATATAATTATTCTTTTGGTAAACCTAGAACCTTTGGATAATAGAAAAGGAAATTTCAGAAATACCATTATTCTTTCAGTAAACCTGAAACCTATGGTGCAGAAAATGTTTTCATTATGCTTTTTAAAGATTTGAATTTTAAGATTTAAATTTTATATTCCAACACAACACTAAATGCTATGTATTTACACAGTTGTTTTTAGATGAAATATTTTGTCTTGTTTCTTTTCCAAGAGAAAGTATCATGGCAAATAAAAACTTTTAGCCAACTTGCAGCCAATAGAATGCCTGCAATTTTTTGTGAAAATTTTAGCTATAACTTTTACTATAACATACTTTTGACCCTTCTTTTTGAAATACTTTAAGGAAAATAATTTTTTTCCTTTTCTGAAATTTGTATGCAATGTGTAATTTTTAATAGATTTCTTAAGTATGTCATTTTTGTATTAGCATGAGTCTGTTGTTGTGGGTAAAGACTGATTTATTGTGTTATTATGAATGTGTGTGTGTGTGTGTGTGTGTGTGTGTGTGTGTGTGTGTGTGTGTGTTTCGGGGGGAGGGGTAATGACTAATTGGTGTTTGTGGTTTGAAAATGGCATGTAAAACTGTTGTTCAATTTTAGTCAAAATATCCAGGTACTCAAGGAAAAAATACACTGATGTTTCCAGTTACCTTTTTTGAAAGTTCAGAAATCTAAGTTGTGCTTTGATATTCAGTTCGCATTTCATTTTCATTTCAGGTATATTGTTTAGTAAGTTTTATGTTTAATTTTAACTTGAATTATTCTTAGTATTTTCATGAACAATAATGTGGGCATAAGAATTTTTGTGTAATTTTATTTGTTGATTTGTTAGAAACTTTGCAAATAGGTTGGGGTTTTTTGAAATTATTATTTTCTTCTAGAATCTATGAAGTAATATTTAGTATTAATAAATGTGAAAATTAAGTTGTATAAACAACAATTAACTGTTTGTTATGCTTTGGCTTCATTCCTTTTATCACCAAGCATGACAGATCTTCCAAACTGTTTACAGCTGCAATAGTCACTTCAATATGTAGAGTGGACATAAATATTGCTAATGCAGTAATAATCTTTCTCTAGCTGATTCATTTTATTACACTTCTGAGGTACAGTTACATTCATTTAAAAGCATGTTTATAGACAATTCTTTAGAAATCAAATGATTGTACAGATGGTCTGTAAAGAATAAAGGATCAGTGTTTCTGCTGACCAGTATGGTTTCCTTTCTCCTGGAGCCCAGAAGACCCTGTTGTTTTTCTGTTCTTAGAAAATTAGTAATGCTCCTAATTCTTGTTAGATTTATCTAACAAACAGGGTAAACTATTGCCTACATTCTAGTTGAAAACCGCCGGCTAAGGGTATTTTACATTCTGTTAACCTAATTGGTGATTTTCAGTTGTGTAGAAAAATTTTAGTAGAGAGATTTTTAAAATGAAATATTAATAGACTATATTAGTTATCTCACTGCACAGGACTGATATAGAATTATTTGAAGTTTGTAGAATTCTTTGAAAAAGACAAGAATTCATCTTTATGGCAATACCCTGTTTCCCCGAAAAATAAGATAGTGTCTTATATTAATTTTTTTCTCCCAAAGTTGTGCTAGGTCTTATTTTCAGTGGGTGCCTTATCTTTCCATGCGCTAGGTCTTATTTTTGGAGGATGTCTTATTTTCGGGGAAACACAGTAGTTCTCTGATCAGTTTCTACAAAGGGTCAATTTCATTAGACAAAAAGTTAAGAGAATTTGTCGATAATTGTGTCCCATATTTATCAGTTTCTAAAGAAGGATCTTAATCATGATTTCTTAACCTCAAGGTTTGTAATCATTCTATTTTGGAATATGGACCTGAACAGATGTCCTGTTTTCTGTTCGTGCACTTGATTATTCATACTAATTCAGAAAATTCTTATTAGAGTTAAATCAGAAATAATGCCCTCTCAGAAAAATCCAACTTGATTTTCAAATTTCTGCACATGAGACAATGGAGTGGAGTGTTCAATTTTATATTCCTTTTTCAGCATATGCTGAAGAGTCTTGGGTATTGCTGCTCTACTTTTATAATTATGTTATCATCCAAGTTGAAAGCATGTCTGACTTGTCTGTTTTATACTCTTTATGATGTCACACCTGTGACCGAGTATGGTTACACTAAATGCCATGTTTTATTCTATTAACAATAATAGTATAATTACATTTATTTCATTAGTAGCATCTTATAGACAAACAGAAAGTATATACAAATAAGTGAAAATTCCAAGAATGTAAAGATTTTATCCACTGATGAATCCCTGGTGTCTAGAACAGTGCCTGGTACATAGTAGATGATCATTAAGTATTTGCTGAATGAATGAATGAATGAATGAATGAATGAATGTAAGAAACAAGTAGTAGAAGGGAATGGGCCTTATTTTACCTTCAGTATCATAAGTACCTTTACCAATCATGTGTACATTTATTTGGGAACTTCTATATGCACGAGAGGCCTGGTGCATGAAATTCGTCCACTGGGGTGGGGGGATCCCTCAGCCCAGCCTGTGCAGGTTAGGCCTAAGCTGGCAGTCGGACATCCCTCTCGCAATCTGGGATCCCTCGCTCCTTACTGCCTGCTTGTCCGCTGCTCCTTACTGCTCAGCTCACTGCTCCTTAGCACTACTGCAGAGACAGGAGAGGCTCCCACCATCATTTCTGCACTCGCCAGCCCTGAGCCCAGCTTCTGGCTGAGCAATGCTCCCCCCTGTGGGAGCGCACCGACCACTATGAGGCAGCTCCTGCGTTGAGCATCTGCCCCCTTGTCGCCAGTGCACATCCTAGCAACAGGTCATTCTGATTGTTCCGCCATAAAGTGGTCACTTAGGTTTTTATTATATAGATTAGAGGCCCAGGGCATGAAAGTCATGCACTGGTAGGGTCCCTAGTGGCTGCCAGCTGCTGGCCAGGGCCTCCCTCCCTTCCGCCAGCTGACCCTGACCCCTGTTCAAGCTCCTAAAGGAACTCCCGGCTGAGGGCACAATTTGCATACTACACTTTTATTATATAGGGTTGTTTTGTTTTCCAGTGAGCTTCATTGGGTGTATGTGTGACTATTGTTGGTAGAGAGAAGTCTTATCCCTGCTCACCATTTGAGTAAAAGAACATATGATCACTCTGTCATTTACCCTTGTACCACCATCAGATTAAAAGTAGACCATTGCTTCTTTTCCAAGCAATCTAATCCTTCAGAAAATCAAAGCCAAAGGTGATATCATTTATCTCCATGTTTTTAGAATGGTACTTTTAATTTCACTTTTTACATCAGCCTGTTAGTATAAGATTGTTTTATTTGAATGTGTTTATTTCTAAATTTTTTGTATGAGAAGATGTTACAGGTAAATGATGCATAGTCTGTCTAAATCAAATTAAAATAATTCTCTTCATTGAAAACTTTATTTATACTCCTTCTCTGTTGTAATTAATATAAATTGGCCTTTAATGGTTTAGATTGTATTCAATTTGGGACATTTAATATCATAAAATTGAATGTAGAAAAGTTCTTACGTTAATTGTTCCCAATTTTCACATAATGTTCTTTAGCATGTGCTTTTTTAAAAAAATCTATTTAAAGTGCATACAAAACTTTAGACATTAATTTTATACACTTTTCACAATCTAGCAAATAATTATTTCATGACTTTTACTGGTTTTAGCTACTGAAATATATTGAGCTCAAAGCAAAACTTCATTTTATTCTCACTCGCCCTTGACTCTGCTGTACTGTGAATCTAAGTTATGGTAAAAATAAGACTTGTATATCATCAGTGAACTGAACTTAAAATGAATCCTAATGTATAAGAATTAATCTGGGGGGGGGATGCTAAATGTTACATTAGATGTTAATTGGAGAATGCAAGGTGTATTTTTTTTTAATTTGTCAATCAGTATCTCCCTTTGGGAAAAATAGGATCTATTCACCTTCCTTAATCTACCCTGATTAATATAGGTTAAATGTAAAGGTTGAAAGATGCAATTATCTTTGTTTCCACCCTTACAGGAATTCATGTTAGTTCATTAGTAATCAGCTTTTAAAGATAAAGGTTAAAAGTTTCTATGGTATTTTATGGGCTTTTAAAATCACAAATGTAAATAAATATTTTATAAAACACCTTATAAAAAGAATAAAAGAAATAGTAATAGTTTAGTTCTAAAATGTATAATGTTAAAGATATTGAATGTTTGTGTCAAAATACATTTTATTAAACACAATACCCAAAGAAAAAATATATCTTAGAGCAGGTATCAAATTATCCTTGGGCAGTTCATGAAGTGTTTGCCTTTATGTTGTACTTAACTGCCAAGTTTCTCTTACAATAAAATTAATCCTTTCTTATACTGTGTTTTAGACTCAAATGTCTGATATACAATTTCATCACTGTCAAAACTTTAAGGTTAAATAGTGGCATGTAGCACACAAATTATAATTCCCAGATAAATCTCAAGAGTTATCTGGTGGGACTTATACCAGTCTCCAGGTACACAGTGAGTTTGCAGGGGCACTACCCGAGGTGGTACAGCTGTTGGCAGGCTTCCTTGCTGGAACAGCCATGGCTGCAGCACTGCCACCACCATCCTTCAGGGCTTTTACTTCCATTTGACTTCCTTCTTCTGCTTTTCCAAAGTGATTCCAGGCTCCTGGCAAGGACTAAAATTCCTCTTCTGGCAAACAAGGGGCAGGGAATAAGATGTAGTTTTGCTGCCAAAATTACAGCTACCAGAATACCCACTCTTGTGGAATTTTTCAACCAACCAATCACACACATATTTTATATTTATATATATATATATAATATATATATATATATATATATATGTGTGTGTGTGTGTGTGTGTGTGTGTAAGTATATGTACACATGTTTATGTGTATGCACACACATTCACATGTATTACAAATAAATTTGGATTTTTAAAAAAATCAGTTTAGAAATGAAGAATCTCTAAAAAAGTAAACCCTTATAAAAAGAACATCAGTTTGCAGAACAGTTCACTATTTTTTACTTGTTTAGCCATTGCAGAAGACCACATAGCCAATCCAATGAAAGCTTTATTTTCTCTAAATTATTCATTGAATGTGACCAATATCAGTTAAACTGAGTATTTTAAAGTCAACTTTCACTCCTTCTGTGAAAATTTTTCTTTAAAAATGATCTGACTAACTCGTTTAACATACCATTAGATTCAAAATATTTTATATTGAACTTTAATTTTTGCACTATATTTCACTTTTATAAGACAATTTATGATAAAAACCCTCAAATATCTTATTGAATTTGCTTTTTCAAATTCTTTAAAAAATGTATAAGATCATTTTCTTTTTTATGAGAAATTAGTAAACTCTTATTTTTAGATATTTATCTTTACTGTCATATAATTAATATTAAAAGAAAACTAGAAAATAGTTTAGGCTGTGTATAGAAATATTCCATTGAATTGTATGTAAAATAAGTCTTTAGCATACTTCTTATAATTGGCGTGGAAATTTTGATGAGACAAGTAATATGAAATATTTGCTGCCTTTGTGGAAATAACAACTGGTATGTTAGTGATCAAGAAATGTTGGAAATACTATATGAGATAATATATTACCTTAAGAAAGTCATTTAAATCTATTCTAGTTCTCCTTTTATAAATAAATAAATAAATGAATAAATTGATTATTTAATTTTTCTAATATTAAAACTCAATAATACATACCTAAATTAGGTTTTTTAAATTTTTCTTGCTCATTCTATACTTTAAAGATTATTTTTTTAAAATATACACAGGGCAACATAAAACTTTAAAATGAGAACCATGACTGAGAAAATATTTCTTTACCAACTACATTATGAAAATTACCAAAATTATGAAAAAGCAGCATAGTTTTAAGGTAGAAAATTTTAAATGATTCCTTTTCTTTACATATAACTGTTTAGCCAAAATCTAGTGAGTTTCTTTCCTTCTGGGAAAGAAATAACTGACTTTTTTTTCCTTTTTGATTATAGAACTCTGTCTCAGTAGTTAATACCATTATTGTGCCATGTTTCCCCGAAAATAAGACAGTGTCTTATATTAATATTTTCTCCCAAATTTGCGCTAGGTCTTATTTTTAGGGGATGTCTTATCTTTCCATGCGCTAGGTCTTATTTTCGGAGGATGTCTTATTTTTGGAGGATGTCTTATTTTCAGGGAAACACGGTAGTACCTTAGGTAAGTAAATTAGATAAGTAACTACAATTGTATTAAATGAATAGAACCTTAATATAAAAACTCATACAAGTAAGCCTGCTGTCCACGTATTATAACAAGCCAACTGTAACAACGTATGTGCCATACTGCTAGGTTTAGAACATACTTTGTTCTGTAACAATTATAAATTATATTTTAGACCAGTTAATGGGATTCTTAGAATTCCCTGAGGTGGTTTTTCTCCAAAAGGGCAATACAGAAAAAAATATTTTCTCTCTACATGTGTTTGGATGTTTGTAGGAATGGAGTTGGCCTGAGGCCAGAAGGGATGTACAACTATTCACAGTTCTGAGAGTTTTCAAAATCAGATTACACTGGCCTCTGAATAATTACAACAGTTTACCCTATCACAAGGCTTGATGACAATCCAAATATTTCTGTATATTGCACTTTTAGATATTGTATTTTGTCCTATAGGCCTTCCTGTAAATCGTCTGGTTTCTCCATGTTGACTCTGTCTTGTTTACACTAGCTCCAGTGGCTGTTGGACAATTACGAGACAGCAGAAGGAGTGAGCCTTCCCAGAAGCACTCTATACAACCACTACCTGCGACACTGTCAGGAACACAAACTGGACCCGGTCAATGCTGCTTCTTTTGGAAAATTAATAAGGTCCATTTTTATGGGACTACGAACCAGGAGATTGGGAACTAGGTTAGTATTGAAAAGTAAGATCATAAATTAGCCTCTCTTTTTCAAACTGTAGTTGTTCAGTATATTGCTTGAGCTATAGTACTTGGTTACAGATACCAACATTTAATGATAAAATATAGAAAGACCTCAGTTTATAACCACCACCCCCACCCCCAGAAAGGAAAGGCCATTACTCAATAAATTCTACCAGACCACTGAGGCATCATCCTGAACATCAGCTGAGCAAAACTCTCAGAGGAGCGGGTTCTCCAGTCACATAGGAGGTGGCCAACAAGCCTGTTAATGCAGATTCACATACGATGCTTTAAAAGTTAATATGTATCACCGTCTTTTCTTTTGGAACATAACCATACCAAAGATGATGAATAAAGTAACATATTAAATGGAAACTGTCTCTCTCTTGACTCTTAAAAAATTATATTGAAATGTCTGGAGTAAAACATTCAAGCTGAGTTTTCTCATTCATTTCTGGAGAGCAATTAAAAATCATTTGGTGAACTTGAAAAATATGGGTGTTTTAAGCCCTGAATAATGACATGGTCCTAATTAATCTATGTTAGCCTTTTTAAATTCTTGATTGTGAAACCATACATGTATGGAAGTAAAAAAATATATATATGGTTTAATGTTATTGCATGGAAGCCAATAATGTGAAGAAGACTCTTCTTTTTTTATTGTTTTTTGTTTTTTTGTTTTTGCATGGCACAAATTTTAAATTTTATTGTACTATTTTTTATAGGACCATTAAATATTACTGGACTCTATATCCAGAGTTTGAGGATGCAGAACTGTAAGGGTGAGGTTATAGAGTAAGCAGCTCACATTTAGGGGCTGCCCAAGGAAACCAGGGACTGATTACCCAGTTGCAATTGTCGGAAAAACCCGTTCGGGACTGTACCAAGTTTTGTTGTCAAGCAATCGCTCCTTGACTAGCCTTTCAAGAGAAATAGCAACAAGACAGGTTAAATTTTTGGCTGGTGACAATTGATGGTGGATCACAGGCAGGAAACCTGACTGGTGGCTGAACAGTGGATTACAAAAGTCTAGAGGCAGAATGGTTATTTCATGTCTTAAACCCTTTCTCCAAACTACTTCCTAGATGCTTTCCTCAATTTTTATTTTTCTATAATAACACAAATATTTTAAGTAGCTGGGCAGAAAGATATGGATTTCTTTGTTTCCTAAATCTTATAGAAATCCATATTAAATAGTATAAAAATAAAGGTGCTACACTATATACCATTAGATGATCTACCTTTAATTAGTTTCAAGTCACAGTTTTACAGTATCCTAAGAAAGGGTTTTTATTAATATTCTTCATAAAATAAATAGAGCCTTAGTAATTAACCTTATAAATTTATACTGAAAAGAGAGGGGAGTGTCAGTTTTATTAGATTTATAAGTTTTGTATGTATTCAAAGTGTGAATCATTTCTGTTTCACTTCAAGTGAACTATTTCTGTTGCTTTCAAATTGCTGGAGGTTTATTTTTCTCATAAGTGTATTTTCTTCTATGTATACTGGTTTTCAGTCCTTTGAGAAAAACCTTTTGTTTCTTGAGTATTTTTCCCCCCAGAAACCATTGTTTGGGACCTAACCTCTTATCTCCTAGCTAATGGCTCAGTAGTTAAGCATCCTGTGCCAATATTTTGAAACTCTGGGCTTTATTCAACATTTTAAAGCTCTATTGTGCTTCTTTTGTTGTTGAAAGGGATTTCAATGGATCCTATTTTGAAGCTCCATTCAAATCTTAAAACACATCTTTAAAATAGAAAGTGACAAAATTAGGGTTGTTTGGGTTTGTGATTGAGAAGAATCCATACTCTGTAAGTACATATTGCAATATTGCAGCATTTACTTTCTGGTATTCTTTTTTCCCCCTGTTCTCACTGTGTAACAATTATGTCTTCTGTTCCTTTTAAAATTGTTACATAGTATTTATAATTAAGGATGGAAAGCACAGCCCAGAAGAATAAGGAGAAAAGAAATCCTGTGGGGAAAGTTGAAACAAATGCTGTGTTATTATATGAAGATAGCAGAGGCCTCTCAAGCAGAAACACTGACAATGGTGGGCGTCACAGTGCTGAGTCTTTCTACCAGGGAAACCTCTAAACCAGAAAGAAAATCCATATAAATCATAGCACAAATTAACTCAGTTTTTTAAAGCAAACTGTATGTAGAACTTTTATTTATCCAGCGATAAAATTAACTGGTAAATTCATTCAAACCAGAACCAGACATTTTCTCAAGTTTTAAACGAGCTAAGAAGTAAATGAAACCACCATGTTTCTAAACAAAAGGCAACTGAAAAAGCTCCATTGGTAGACCCCACTTACAAGTTAAGTTTAATCCAAGACTATGGGACGTGCCGACCTGCCCCATGGCCAATGGAAAGGAAAGAATCACCTCCCCTGCCCCAACCCAAACAAGTGCTGATCTGAAAGAAACTGGGCAGGTCACCTGCTCTGTGGTCTCACAGTTGAGACACCGTTTCACACGGTGGCGCTGCCATTGGCTGGATCCCCTGGCGCATGTCTACTTCTCCCCCCGCGGTCCCTCCTTGTCATTCCCCACTTTGTTCAGAAAACATTACTAATTGGGTTTGTATATTTTTGTTTTATTTTTTCCTCTCTTCTGGAGCGGAGTTTGGAGACATAATGTAATCTCTGCTAGTGGAAAGCTTTCTACAGAGGCATTAGGCTTTCACACTGGTTCATTTTGCAGAAACTTTAGAGGCACTCAGATGCCCTACATTTTTTTTTAAAAAGTAGCAATATTATTTATATAGCAAGATTTTAATGTTGTTTTATCCCATATATTTAGGGTTCATTTAATATAGGTTTTTTTAATTTGGGAAGTAAAATTCTGTTTTGTTTGGTTATCATTGTTAAACTTTAAAAAATTAAGCATAATTCAATGATATCCTTTGTCATGTATATTTCATGTTGAAATTCTCCCACAACTTTTATTTATTTATTTTTCTATTTTATTTTTTAATTGAATTCATTGAGGTGAGATTGGTTAATAAAATTATATAGTTTTCAGGTATGCAATTCTATAATATATCAACTGTACATTGTGCTGTTTTTATATAAAACATTTAATCCACACTCTCCCTGCATTTCTTGTTATAAATGAGAGAAAAAAAATGAAAGAGTACTGATATCTTGCTATATAAAGGCTTATGAAAAACCATTTTCTCTTTGTAAAAATTCGCATATTTAAAATATGATATTTTCAAGAATTTCCCATTTCATTTAGAACTAAACTTTGTCATTTCTAATAACAAATATGGCCTTTCTCCTGAGCTTGGGTAATGATGACATTTTTATTCCAGGTGGAAATTTGCCATTTTCACAGAGAAATTTCTCCATGTCTGTTTGTGACACATCTTATTCATCCTGCAAAACTAATATAAATCCATAAAAACAGAGACTAATAAAATGTTTCAAACTGAGTCAATGCATGCTTTTTAGGCTTCAAAATATTAAATATAATAGACCTCTCCACAGCATCTTGCATTAGTGAAGTTATCTTCATCATCCCTGCAGTAATAAAACTTGAAAAACGTAGAATTTACTAGTACCTAAGAAAGGTAGAATTAAGATTTTTTTTTTCTGTTGGTTCTGTATAACCATTTTATTATAAATTATTCTTTGGTGCTCAATCCTTTATCCTGTTAATAAATTTTTATTGATCAGAATCTTTTTCTCACTATTACCCTTTCTAAGTTAAATTTAAAACTTAAATTTTGAAATAAACATGTAGCTAAAATGGAATAAGTGGACTATTGAACAATGTTTAAGAGAAAGTTTATAAAGACTTTTGGGGGGGGCCTTGAATCAGTGGATTTAGAACCTTATTATGATTCTCCACATGTATTCACCATCAAAATATATAAGTATCCCAAACACATCACAAATATATAATAACATTAATATGGTGCTTTTATATATTTTTCCAAGTGAGAAGTTATTGGACATCCTATATGATGAATACAGGTTTGGCTGACTTTTTGTGTCTCTAATGTTTGTTGTTCTTTTATGAAGAGGAAACTCCAAGTACCATTACTATGGGATTCGTGTCAAGCCAGATTCCCCTCTCAATCGTCTGCAAGAAGACATGCAGTATATGGCTATGAGGCAACAACCCATGCAACAGAAACAAAGGTAGACTCTGCAATTGTCGTTGGCATGCCAAGTTATGTGTTTCTTTAGATGTCCGGTTTCCTTTTTGTTCTGAACAAATAGAACAAATACATAAGTGTGAAAGAATGTCACTATTGTTGGTATGCTTTCACAACAGACAGTTCTCAAATATGATTTAGAATTTTATTCATCCTGCCTATTTTCCAAATCTTTCAAAATTACTTAAAAGTCAGCTGTTTGTGGCCCCTTTTAAGTTGAAGGTGATATCCCAAGCTATTCAGTCAGGGAAACTAAATATAAGCATAAAGAGTATACCCAAGAAAATACCACTTGGAGAAATGCGTTTCATATTCATGAGTTTGTTACCTGCTATTCTGCACATCCCTCGAGCCATTCTTTTTGACACAATATAAATTCTTTCAAAACGTTTGGGACTTCTTGCACTTTATTTGAATCCAACTTTCATAGATGTGGAATTGTAGGTATTAGAGCTGTAAGAAAGCTCAAGCATTCATGGGTGGGTGGGTGGATGGATGTAACCATAGATCTTAGAATTGAAGATATATCAGACTAGTCTGGCCCCACAGCCTGTGACAATCAAAGCACTAATAGTCCTTATTTTTCAGTTAAGTCTCAGATCAAAAGATTTATACAAGCCCATGATGCTGTTATATAGCTGAGGGTCTTTTAGTCTCGTGTGGCTTATATTACAGTTTGGAGTAAATACAATGAACATATTCTCTCTCTCTCTCTCTCTCTCTCTCTCTCTCTCTCTCTCTCTTCCCCCCCCCCCGCCCCCCAGTGTAGTACAGCTGTGGCAGCAGTTATAATTTATCTTTACAATTGATCATGCAGAATTAGGTAGCAGAAAGAAAGTCTATACATAGGTAATCAGATAATCTGCATCATTTTGCCTAACCCATTGATCTGCGATGATTAGTTCTTTAGTCATCAGAAGTATTAGCTCTAAGTCATTGCTGGAGAAAGAATATATCACACAGGAGTCCCTTTTTCTATTTAGTCAAAGTACTAATTGAGTCCCTCCTATGTACCAGGCTCTGAAATCAGAGAAGTTACAGCTCTTACCTTTGAGGAGTTAGGAAATTAGATGGGGAGACATATGTTTTTTTGTGTTTTTTGTTGTTTTTGCTGTTGTTGTTTAAGTAATGCAATATAAGAAGTACTAAAATAAAACTTTGATCAAAGACCTATTGGAATACAGAGCAATTTTTATCAAATTTTCAGAGAGGGAGGGCTAGGAAATTTCATAGAGAATGTGTTATTTGATTAGGGATTTAGAGAAATCAGAAAGAACATTCAGCTGAAACCAGTTTGGCTCAGCAGATAGAGCGTCGGTCTGCAGACTGAAAGATCCCAGGTTCGATTCCTATCAAGGGCATGTACATTGGCTGTGGGCACATTCCCAGTGGGAGGTGTGCAGGAGGCAGCTGGTCAATGTTTCTAGCTCTCTGTACCTCTCCCTTCCTCTCTCTGTAAAAAAATCAATAAAATATATTTTTTGGCAGAGGGAATAATGCAAACAAAAGTATAGAGGGGCAGAGTTCACGATGTCTTTGATAAATGCTCTGATTTGGTGAGGTTGACATTGCAGAAGAAGAATTGAGAAAGTTGAATAGTTTAGTGGGAAATGAGATGTAAAACATAGTTTGGATCTGAGATTAAAGGATTTAGTTGTATATGAAGTTAAGTTTGTTCTTTGTACAGAATATAGCTTTGAGGTTGTATAAGGCTTTGAAGCAAAACAATGAAACTTTCAGATTTTTTTTTCCTAGAGAGATGACTTTTTGGTTTTAGGCTGGACATATGTAATGGGAAGAGACTAGAGGTAAAGTGTTTTTAATACAGTCAAACTGAAGAGTCAGGACAAGATTGGATATGATGTAAAGATACCTCAAGGGATTTAGATTTTTAACTCACAGATTCTCAACTATATATTTTAAGGTGCTGATCCTTATGTTTTCAGGTATACCTCACAAAAGATATTAAGAAGGGCTCTGAAAAAAATAATGAAATCATAGAACACTAACACATAATGTGTTTGGAGATAGAGTTTGTATGAATTATAACTAAGTGTTATTGTCTTAGGTTATGATTTTTTTCACCTGTTATGGCAATATTTATAGCTTTTAATTTATGAGGCCTCTGCACTCATGTATAGCAGCACTACAAGTGGAGGTGATGATATAATAAAGAAAAAAGTTTGATTAAAAAATAACACATGCTTAAACTTAAATATGAAAAAAAGCTTAATGAGTTGCACCTAAGACAGCAGATGCCAATTTCTTCTCTGGTTATAATTGCAACAAAATCCTACCAAGAAACTATTGATGGACATTGAAGCCTTTAAGATACATTCTTTTTTTTTTTTTTTTTTTTTTTTAAGCCTGGGTTAAGGAAGCAAGACCTAAGATTTAACAAAGGTCTCTTAATGAAAAGGTTCCAGAGATATGAAGGTTAGCAAGTCATATAAACTCCTTAATCACAGTATAGTAGTAAATGTTTTTTGTTTTGTTTTTTAGAATTAGATAAAATATGGATGTATTTAAGAAGTGATGTAAAACTTCTTAATAAATTAATATTAATAAATTGTTCCAACTTTAGTTAGTTTTTACTTTCTCATGAAATAAGAATGTTAGAGAACCAAATGAATTCTAAAGTTTCCTTTTTTTTTCTTAATTACAAAAGTTTTGGATTGTAGACAGTTGCTCCTGGAATGGTGTCTAACTAACTGATTGCAGAGTTAGTGTTATCAACTTCATGGACTCCTCATTGGATTAGCAGTACAGAGGGAGATTTCCCTTGTGTCCTTAGGATCTTATCAATTGGCAGCATCAATAGGCCTAAGTGAAGGCAGATTGCTCATTGAGCAGAAACACTTGGATGGGAGAGGAGATGTTTTCTCCTTAAGTCCGAATGTAGGCATGAGTATTTGTTGTAAACTGAGAAAGAGCATGTCATTTGTTCTATGGCTTAAAAATTAGATGATTTCAAAACTCAAATGATTCCATTGAATATATTAAAATTCATATAAGAAGAGATTACCATTCTCCTGTTAAAATACAAGCAACATAGTATTCAATATTCTATATATTATAATAAAAGGCTAATATGCAAATCAACTAAACGGCAGAATGACCAATCATTATGATGCATACTGACCACCAGAGGGCAGATGCTCAGTGCAGGGGCTGCCCCCTGGTGATCAGTGTGCTTCCACAGGAAGAGTGCCACTCAACCAGAAGCTGGGCTCATGGCTGGCAAGTGCAGCAGTGGTGGCAGGAGCCTCTCTCGCCTCCACAGCAGCACTAAGGATATCCAGCTGACATCCTAAGCCATTAGTTAGACATTCCCAAGGGCTCCTGGACTGTGTGAGGGTGCAGGCTGGGCTGAGGGGCCCCACTCCCTCAGAGTGCACTGGGCCTCTAGTTTTGGAATATTCAAATTATTTTAGCACCTCAAGATTTATTGTATTCATCTATATGGGCACATCTTCCAGAGTAGAAATGTATGTTTCGTGTATTCATATATTAAGAAAATTCAGCCGAAACCAGTTTGGCTCAATAGATAGAGTGTCGGCTTGGGGACTGAAGGGATCCGGGTTTGATTCCGGTCAAGGGCATGTACCTTGGTTGCATGCATATTCCCAGTAGGGGGTGTGCAAGAGGCAGCTGATCGATACCTCTCTCTCATCAATGTTTCTAGCTCTATATCTCTCTCCCTTCCTCTCTGTACAAAATCAATAAAATATATTTTTTAAAAATTCAAGTATATGCAGTGATTATTTTGTCAAATAAAAGGGAAGTTTTAGAAGTCATTTTTTCTGATAAATTTGAAATCATAATAGTTGTAGCAGAAATAATGATTTGATTGCTGTTTTGTATATCTTTATAATTATTAGATCTCCTTTACATATGGTATTTCACTTGACTTTTTGATAAGGTAGTAAAGGAAAATTTCACATATCTACAAATCAGATTTCCAGCAGCACAACCATAAGGAACATAGCCATGAGTCAAGAAATAAATGGAAGCAGCTTCTGACTGAAAAAATAGGTGTCACGCTTAATTGAGAAGATGAAGCCATTCTCAAGCTATTTACCTAAAATATAGAAGCAGATTAGAGCCCATTGATTCACATGAAATGGTGAGATACAAAAGCAGGCAAGAAGAAATATAAGTAGACAGGGGTCTTCTATTTGCTTTGGTTATTCAACACAGCAGGCTTCACTTCAGTAAGTCCTTTGAGTACCACTCTAGTGACTAGAATCTAGTCTAACACAGTTAAATAACTGGATAATTGATGGAATTATAGATAATCAAGAAGAGGTAAAGTACCCTGGTTAAAGAAACAGAAGACTGTATAATAGTTGTTGTTTTTTAATACCTTCTGCTGAAAAGATTTTATATGAAAATTATTTACATGCATGTGGTAATCTGTAGTTTCCAAGGGAATTCACCCATAAACTATTATTTACCATAATTCATACAGTAAGTAAATTAGGTTATTATGGAGATCAGTAATTTTTAGATCTTAAAACTAAGTAAAAACGTTTGTTGCAGTTTTGTTTTTATTATTTAAAAGAAGCACGTAGAGGGTGTTGACACATACATTTTAATTTTTCTTCCAAATCCCTGCAGCAAAAGTGGTGGTATAGAGCCAAGTGCTTTTGACAATGTGCTTGGCTGTGTTTGATCCCAGTAGCTTTCCTCAAAATATTTAACCTCCAGTTCTCATTCCTTCAACAAATGCTTAACAACCAAATATGCCCACATCTCAAAGAGATATCACAGAATAATAGAAAGTTGCACTATCACCTAGTCTAACTCATCTTCTTGCTGAGAAAACCTAAGTCTATAAAGGGTAGACAACTTACCCAAGGTCATAGAGCAATCAGGACTAAAACCCAGTCCTCTTGTCTTTATTCTTAGGTGAATTCTACCCTTAAACGGATAAGATAATCCAAAAAGAAATGTAATGTTTGCATATGTAATAAAGGAAAA